TGCTCCTTTTGGATCCGCCAATGATTGTTGCCGGGGCCAGTTCGCTTTATGTTATTCTTGCCGTGTGAATAGTTCAGCTTCTTTGCCTTTCATACATTTTTTTTTCTTATTTAATGTGTTTTATACCAGAGCATGATTGCAACTCGTAGTTAGCTATGTGCTGCTGCAACCTACTGGCACTTAGATATCGACGCTTCATTAATTTTATATTTTTTTTCACTAAATACCTGGTCTGAATCAACCGAAGAATTCAAGACCCCGGAACTCCTTAACTTATTATGAATGTTTGGTTATTTTCATTGTTCTAATAAACCCGAACTCAATTTGTGCCGCAAAAGGCACAACAATCATTAATTTTACATTTTTTCCACTAAATTTGCAAACGGGCAAGAATTAACAAAAATCAGGAACCGATCAGTACTCAGCAAATTTATCTTCCCTCATGATTCAGAAATTAAACGCCTAGTCAGCAACCTATTTTCATAAAAAGCATTTCCTGATAATTATATATAATGGTTGCAACGTATCACGTGTTAATTCCTTTCTTTCCTCTCTCAGTGTATTTGCTCTTCCACTGATATCTCTTTCTTTCGCGTATCCATCTTGCAAATTAGTTACATGACTATTCAAAACATGGCGGATAGGAGGCTGTACTGATGATTCCCGCTGCTACCCACATGCATAGTTCGATCAGTGTTTACAGCTAAGGGATGAAACACAGGCAAACTGCATCATAAAATGTCTTCATACACATGACATTCTTCTATTTCAAGAAACGGAAAGAAAAGTGGGAAGTGGAGCACAGTGAAATGCTATTATGGTTGTTTTGTCATTTTTTGTATGAAGAACGACGATGTGCTGTTACTTTTCGCTTCAGATATTGAAGTGAGTGACGATACATCATCGAAGCTAAGGGAAGCAGTGATTGAAATTAACGGCATGACATGTCATTCATGTGTTAATAATATCGAGGAAAGTATTGGCCGGAATGAGGGAATCAAGTCGATCTCCGTTTCACTGATCGATCGTGAAGGTACGTTCAGTTTTGGCTCAATTTCGACAAAGTTTTGGATTTGGAGGGAGTTATTTTTTGTGTTTTAGGAAACTGCATGATTATATGTTCCAGAAATCGAGTTAGTTTTTTTTGAGAAACTTCTTTGTTTTGAGACGGCAATTGTTTTTTTTTAAATTTTTAGTTTTCCTTTTTTGGCTGAATTTGGACAAAGTTGTGGATTTCGAAGGAATTATTTTTTGAGTTTTAGGAAACTGCATGATAGTATGTTCCAGGAATTGAGTTATTCATCTTAAGAAATTTCCCTATTTTGAGATGACGGTTCTTTTTAAACTTTTTGTTTTTCCTAACTTTTTTCGTACTCGACTTTTCGCAATTCACTGATATTCGTCACGAACCAAAAAATTTGCTTTTTTTTTATAATGAACCGAAACATTTTGATTCGTCCTGATTATTTCTTAGAAAAATTTCTATATTTTGAGATGGCGATTGTTTTTTCTTAAACTTTCAATTTTCCCCAACTTCTTTCGTATTCGATTTTTCACAATTCATTGATATTCGTCATTAACCAAAAAATTCCTGTTTTTTTTGTAATGAACCGAAGCATTCCTGTCATCTGATTATTTCTTAGAAACTTTCTATATTTTGTGATGGCAGTTGGCTTTAAAATTCGTTTTTCCCTGAAGTCTTCATATTCGACCTTTCCCTGTTCACTAATATTCGTCATGAGCCAAAAAATTCCTGTTTTTTCATAATGAACCGAAACATTCCTAATCATCTGATTATTTTTTTATATATTTTTTATTTTACATGAACAGAAATCTATAGAAAAAATATGTTAAAGTTAGAAGAAGACAAAGCAAATAATATTAAGGAATTAATAGAAGTTGTAAAATCTTGTAAAATATATTATAATGGTAAGAAATGTTTCAGTCCATTAAGTCGTATACATTTCTGAAATCTTCATGTCACAGCCTAGGTTTTGGTGCTTCTAGGGCATGTTGTCTATAATACTTCAAAATGGCGACCAGATGAAATAGCCGAGTTAATCAGCGATATGGGCTATGATGCCAGGCTCCTCCGAACTCAAGGTTTTCGATTTCATGAATTTTGGAGGAAACTTGCAAAAGAGAATTTTTGCCCGAAATTTTTTTTTCACTCATTTCCCATCCTCTAAAGGAGGTTTCAGTTAATTTTTTTTCTTCTCCTTGCAGATTATTCTGAGGAATCAACAAAACGGCCATCTCTGTCTATTCTTCACAAAAAGAAAGGCGATTGGGATTGGACCGATGAGAAATGTTCCATCAGACTTGGCGAGAAAAGTGCAAAATTTAAGCCCTCAAAAGAGGATTCGATTGAAAAGCGGACATTCTCAGTGGACGGGATGACTTGTGCCTCATGCGTTTCTTACATCGAAAGAAACATTGGAAAATTGAGAGGCAAGTTTTGTTATGTAAGAATTCCAATACAAAATCTCTACCTTATTCATTTCGTACGAAAAGACGATGGTACTGGGGAATAGTCCGTGAAGGTTTGT